GCACATAATTTACGCAATTTTTTCCAAAAAACCGTTTCATATTCTCGAAGTTGAGTCTTTGAGCCTTACAAAACTAAGACAAAATATGATTATCTTCACAAATTCCCAAACTGTACCAAAACAACACTTGCGACTGCAGAATAAATCAAATTAATAACGTATCGGAAAGGCGTATTTTTCTTAATTGCTATAATGTGCTCTAATTATTATTAATAAAAAACTATCAACTAGAATGAACAATTTTTTCAATTTCAAATTCAATTTAAAACAAAAAAGAATTTTTCCTATGTAAATTAAATAAAAATAGCGACCCCTTAGATTTGAGCTATAGGGCTCATGTTTGGCGAGGATTTTTTTTACATCAAATAGAAACATTTGAGGGGGTAAGAGTTTGTTTGAAGCACCCTAATGTATATGAATAAGTTACAATTTTGGTGAAATATACAGTGTAATACTCAACTAAATTTGAAAAATTTACAGTGTAGCGAAATAATAACCGTTCCAAATAAACATTTCGTGGAAAGACTACAAATTGTGTTACTTATTTAAATAAAATAAATGAGCTAATTTTACTGAATGGTATTGTTCTTAATAAGATTTCAATTTCAATTGTAATTTTAGTATAAAAATATAGGTGTTGGTGGTCTCATTAGAAAATGATCACTTAATTTATTTAAAAAATACCACAATAAATAGAAAATTTCAGATCAGTTTAGATATATGCGTAAATTATGTGTAGATGTGTATATTTAACATATTTAATTAACTTTAAGAGTGGAATAGCTTTTCTGCTAGATCCCTCACAGAGCTCGGCGGAGGTTTAGTGTTCTGTAAATAAAAATGTGATTCCAGTTCAAAGCTTAGAAGCACTGCAATTCAAGCCACTTCATGAAACAGTAGTTGGGGCCTGGACCTGGTAAATGAATTGAGTACTTTATAGAAGTACTTTGTACTTCAAAGGGTCTCAAGATGATTGAAGCACTTTCAGAGTGAATTCAGATTTCAATCTAATTGCTTTTGAAGTAATTAGTAATTCGAAGTTTTTCGATTTTATGATATAAATTGGTGCTTCAAATACTAAAGTGCTTGAAATAAGAGCTTTGATTTTAGGGCTTGGATCTCTGTTGGTGAGGGTTTTGCCAAGTTCTGTATCGATATTGTATTTAGATTTTTTGTTTCTAGAAAACCAAATGTCTTAATCGAACACTTATTGAAATGACTGCAATTAAATTAATTGGGTGCTTATAGTTTAATGATATTTTTAAAAAATTAAGATAATTATTTCAATATCAGAAAATGAATATCTGTTCTGTTGAAGGCACTAAGTTTGTCACTTTTCTGGCAATAAAATTGCGCCATTTTTAATTGTTTAATGTTTCAGATTGTGAATGTGTAATTTTTCAATATTATAGTACAACAATTTTGCAATAAGCGTTTACGCATATCAACTATATATATTACCTCCCTCAAATTGTGATTGGTCGTTTCAAAAATTATTTACATATGGAGAAGCATTTGGAAAAGATCGAAGAGACAGCAAAATGTCATCTAGAAATTCAGGTTAGACATTTGTGTAACTTAAATTCAATAATCATTTCTAAAATGGATTTCGTAGTGGAAAAAATTCCTGAAGATTCTTTCTACGTCAATTTATTCCTTGGCCTTCCACAAACATTAAACTCTCTGGGAATTAAGGATTACAATTTGACCCGTTGTGCTCCTCTTTCTGATGTGGAAATTTATCAGTGGGAACGAAAACATGGCGTAACATTACCAGAGGACATTCGCTGTTTCTACTGTTCAACTAACGGTTTATTCTTCACGTGGTCGTTCAAGTTTGTTGATGATGATTCAGAACACGATAGTAGCAGTGCCGATGACGAAAAATCAGAAGAAACACCTAAACCAATAATTGGCAAAGTAGAAATAAATACATTAGAGAACCTTCGACAGGTGTTTGGTTACGTAACCGGTAGTGAACATGGCACAATAAAGAAAAAGGACGGCACGCGAGATATCAAACTTTCTCTTGAAAGCAAAGTATTTGAACTGTGTCCAATAGTGGGAGGGAAAGTTGTTCTTGTATATTTATCGCCAAAACATGAACCTTCGGTTTGGCTTTTGACTTGGCTAATGGAGTTTTCGTTTTTGGCTAAAGATTTTAAAACGTATATGAAAATGTGTGTTGCCCATTTGGGAATACCCAACTGGCAGTTCATTTTCACTCCTCAAGGTATTTCCGAATGGACCAAGTCCTTGTTTAGGCTTTATGCAAATCACCTTCTACCTCATGCTGATAAAAGTATTTCTAAACGAAGTGCTAAAGATATCGAAATGCAATGTGCGCCTATCAATAAAATTGACACTGCAATTTTCAAGTCCAGAGCTCCACGGAGTGAATCGCTAATAAGATTAGAAAGGGAAGAAACACCGCCAAAGGAAACTCTTAAGAAAGAGAGCAAGGGTTCATTTAAGGGAAGAACTAAAAATAAAAGAAAACCCCTGTACTATGTTAAAAAGAGATGAATATTTAATACACGTTTAAATAAATATTTTTCGTAGGAAAATTTGCTGTTTTAATTGATACCTACATTTTCATAAAATTATACATTATTTTATTTTAAGGGTATAAATCAAAAAGGGAACAAAAAAAATCATTCAAAAATTGGTTAAAATGAAAAAAAAGAACACTGAAATAACCTAAAACTGATATCCTATGAAGCGGATCCAACGTAGCGTCCCCTTTATTTGATACCGGGGAGGAGTTGCTATCCTGGATTCTATATAATGAATTGAAGCGAATAAAAGAGGAATAGATATAGATTTAATTAAGAAATTGACCTTTAGTACGTTTCTATCCAATTTGTGTCGTAGAACCTACAGGTATATTTAAGTATGTATTTATTTTTAGACTTCATGCATAATACGAAACATATTTTATTTGTTTATGTGAGAAATGCACAAGCTCATAGTATTTTACGGCAATAAAGATAACTTTGTACAAAGTGATAATAATAAATAATAACATGATTTTGAAAAATATTGGTCATGACATTTACAAAAAAAAGTAAAAGGTATAACGCTTTACTTAAAGCTTACCCGAAAAGTATAACAAAATCCTAGATTAACAAAGAAGTTTTCACGGCCGGCTTTCTTCGATGAGGGATCGATATTCAAGCCTGATGACCATGATTCAGGTCCTCCTTCAGTGAATTCGCATATTATGGAGTCAAGGAATCGTATTCGATGTTTCTCTAGCTATTGTGTTTGTTATCCTCTGGGAAAGTGGCGAGGGATGTGGTTAAACGTCCTTCTTATTTGGTTTGCGTCGTAAGAGCCTGAAATAGAGGTCCCGTTTTTACCTATTCCACCATAATTCTTTTCTTTTGCTCCTCGCACCCAATGCGTAGAGAGAGAACAGTGCCATAAGAGAACTCTGTAACCTGAACTACAAATCTTATGGTCACTCTTGTATATACCATCACATCTGTGATTTTTTTCACGTTATCTTCTGTGAGGGATGCATTCTCCGAGATGTTCACCTTCAATAGATATTCTCTAACTCCTTGATCCAGCTTGCTACTGTAGAAAATAGATGAGCTGAGCCTCTCAATATTCCCACCATTCTGATCTCGTAGTATATAAGTATACGTATAGGTCCAGCGCCAAATAAATACTAATCATCCCTTTTAGGTATTAAATCCGTCGAGAAACTTCTTCGTGGTATACCTACAAAGTCTACAACTATAAAAAACGTTTGTATAGTTGGGACGTTCAGAATTGACATATTCCGCAATAAAACTGTCCCATTTACTTTCTTCTTTCAACTTATTAACTAGTCTAGAGCGGTTGCTGACAACGCCTACTTTTACTCACGACAGACGTTGCAGGAAATATCGTATACGTAGAAAAGAGATGTCAGGTAGGAATTGCAGCCGGCATTAATAAAGAAAAAGGAGTAGCATTTCACCAAATGATGTGTAACAGAAAGTGATGCAGACAAGCAGATTTTGAGCGTGTTGCCAGAATCGAACTTGAAGAAAAGTTCAACATTCTCAGGAATTTGGAAAAGCAAAGACGCTTGCTTAAAGATTTAATTCCAATCAGGCAGTTAAATCCCGACCCTGCTCTTTTAGGTATCTATGCAACCTCTAACCGCTACACCTTTTACTATTATCAGGTTATCTCTTTTTATCCTCTCTGTACTACTCATGAAGCATTTCCTAACTTAACAAGAGCGTGTTCAAAATGCAGCAAATGACTACAGTCCCAAATGAAAACAGGTTTAGAGGTTTAGACAATTGTTTATCATTCGGGAGGACGCTGGCTCAATTCCGGGTCCGTCTGACTTGGTTCAAGTTTTTCTGTGGTTTCCTTGAATCACTTAGGCAAATGCTGGGGCAGTAATATTCCACAGATAATCTATCATTCTCTTCTGTCTTCATTTCGTCCGTCTCATCTTTCTCACCCGAACCACCACACCCACCCATTCCCACGATTCCTGAAAGGAGGCTGAAGAGGGCCTTCCGCCCTACCTTCCGGCGTAGTCCGGAGGGACTGCCCGCCCACCAGCATTAGTGGCTGGTGGGAATGGAACACCCAAAAGTTTTTTTTTTTTAGTGAAAACAAAATAGAAGATACGTCCATTCTCATAGTTAATTTATTACTGACTTTGCCAAATTTGATCGTTCCAACTATAGAAACTTTTTTAAGTGATCTACTTTTCAGCACTGCTTATATTTGTCCTCAAGAAACAATTGTTGTTGCCTGCTAAAGAGAGCATGTTTTTGCAAAAAATAACACTTTGTTATAAAGGGCGAGAGATGTAGATAAATTAATTTTTAAATAATATCATTGTAAAGTTACGATTCAGACCATCAAGACATCTTGATGCGACCATTTTTTGAGAATTGAAAATTTGATTGAGTCATAGGTATATTATTGTATTTGGATAGTATCATCTTGTCAAATTAACAATATTTTCGTTTAATTTCTTTCAGGTCATAGGAAGTTCGTTATTGTTTGTTCACGATCGATACAACGCTAACGTATGGCTTATCGACTTCGCCAAGACGCTACTTCTTCCATCGAACGTAAATATTGATCACAATTCATTTTGGAAAATCGGCAATCACGAAGATGGTTACATGATCGGCATAAACAATATTATTTCAATTTTTGTAACGATGTTAGAACAACATCCTGTTTGCGTCACACCTCCACCTCCTGTCTGTATTCAAGAAAATAAAGAAAAACAAAGAAGCATCGATCAAGGAAGCAATGAAGAATAGATTTTATCGCAATTATCTACGTAACAAAGGGACGTAATATTATCATTATTATTGTTGTTATTAGCAGGAACAAATTAATTCTTTTGATTAAACGGTAACAATCAATAATTGTGCTCCTTTTAAATATGTATTCAAACGTTTTTGATACGACAATATTTTTTGCTATTATTATTATTATTAATGTTAATATTCATGGAGAGAGTTTTCCAGTAACGGACTGAAATAATCTATTATTTTAATTTCTACAATGTAGTGTACATATTACATACGTATTTAAAATAATATGCGTATTTATTTAAAACTAAATTAACTTGAGTATTACTGTATAGAAATATCTTATTTAAAAAACACACCTATGTAATTGTTTAACAATAAATACTTTTAATTACGTATACACTGAACGCTTATATTGCGAGTATAATTATTATTAATAAACTATTAGATTATTCATTCTTTTATTCGCATACAGGGTGATCACCGAAACTTTTAATTACAGATATTAAAGGGTTGAAGTAGTGCCTCCTAAATTTTTAGAATGGTTATTTCAAAGCCCCTTTTAATTGAAGCAATTTTGTGTTAATTCAGTATGCAGTTAAACTATAATACGTTCATGAAATAACAGACAGTAATAAATAAATAGTATC